AATATAAAACATACTATTTTAACCATATTTAACTGTACAGCTCAACGGTAGCAAGTACATTCACCTTGTGCAATTCCCACTGTCGTCACCACCAGAGTTTTTCACTTTTTGAAAAACTTTTTGCAAATGAGGGGTCCGCATTCCCCCTCCCCCTGCTCCCTGGCCCCTAGCCACTACCAGTGTTCTTTCCGACTCCGAATTCAACTATTCTCGGTACCTCTTATAAGTGGAATCAAGCATTTTTTGTCTATACCTACTCTATATTGGAATGCATTTTTATGGTTAACGTAATATATGTCCTGAAAACAGAACGTGCCTTCTTTTTTCACCCCTATGCTATGCAGTAAGTTCAAAATAAGATCATTCTGATGTTACATTACTCTTCAAGAAAAAAATGTTTACTTTGTTAGTTTCCTAGGGAATGGGTGTTGATCCTGTAGAAGTCAGCAACATTCTGTTAGAACAGGCAGTGGTTTCAAAGAGAGCCTTAGAACTGCCTAGTTTGTATGGAAATTTTATTAAGAACACCTTTGTTAATTAGGGCTCTGTGGCTTGTGTGTGGATCACTGGAACCTGACTGGAGTTTGAGTTTCCCTGGTGATGACAACTCGTAAATTAATCTCAGAGGAACTGCAGGAGGTTGAAATGTTAGATTCTTAAATAATCTCCCTTTCTCTCTGGCAGATGGGAACTTTTTGCCACACATAATTTCCAAAGTATCTACATTTACATGTCTTCTGAAAAAGAGAGTGAAAATTAGTCACTCAGTCCTGGCCGAGTCTTTGTGACCTCCAGGGTCCTCTGTCCATGGGATTCTCCAGGCAAGAATACTGGAGTGGGTTGCCATTTCCTTCTCCAGGGGATCTTCCCGACCCAGGGACTGAACCTAGGTCTCCTGCATTGCAGGCAGATTCTTTACTGTAGGAGCCCCAGGGATGCACGTGTCTTCTGAATGGGAGATTAGGGCTGTGGTTGGTTTGTTGTGAGTCTGGCGATCTCTTTGCTACACCTGGGATGCAGGGCAGACTGAGAGTCAAGGATGCTAGCCTGGGTTGTCAGGGCTAAGCCCTGCAGCCGCTAATGGAGCTTTCTGCTCTGTTTTAAACCAGTTCTAGCGCCCGAGGAAGCCCTGCCTGGTGCTGCCTGCTGCTGGAGGTGAGGGGTGCATGATGAGAACGTGTCCGAGAGCTCAGACTTCCCCCGGCCCCAGCTCTCTGTCTGCGTGTCCACCTGAGAACCAGGGGGATCCCAGCACCCATCCCCTCCGTCTCAGGAGACTTAAATGAGGTGATGTGCAGAAAGGGTGGGGCCCAGTGCCAGGTGCACAAGAGGCACCTCATCGGTGGTGGTGATGCTGTGACTGGCAGCACCCGTCCACTGAGGGTCAGAGTCAAGGGCAGTGCCCTGGTGCGGAACCGAAGACATAGCGTATCTTCACTGCAGCCTGGGTCACTCTGCTTGTTTTTCTCGTTAACACCTTGTGTGTGTGTGTGTACACGCTTAGTCGCTCAGCTGTGTCTGACTCTTTGTGACCCTATGGTCTGTAGCCCGTCAGGCTCCTCTGTCCGTGGGATTTCCCAGGCAAGAACACTAGACTGGGTTGCTGTTTCCTTCTCCAGGGAATCTACCTGATCCAGGGATCTAATCTGGGTCTCCGGTGTCTCCTGCACTGGCAGGCAGATTCTTGACCACTGAGCCTCCAGGGAAGCCCCCCAAAACAGCTTTATTAAGATATAATTTACATAATATAAAAAAGACATCTAAAACATACAGTTCAGTGGTTTTTACTCTGTTGAGCAATGGTTACTTCTATATGACGTTCTATTTTCTAAAACCTCCGAAAAGAAACCTCATCCCATCAGCGGTCCCTCCCTAATTTCCCTCTCTCTCCCAGTCCAAGGCAATCACTGACCTTTTTCTGTTTCCGTGGATTTTGTATGAATGGGATCATATGACATGTAGTTTTTTGTGATTGGCTTCTTTCACAATGTAGTTTCTTCGAGATCCATTCATGTTGTGGCATCCATGTCTGCTTTTGAATGAATGTCGGTCATCCGAGACACGTAGCATTAGGTCCATTTTGAAGATGCAGAAGCCAAAGCTGCTCACGGCCACCCGAGTCAGAAGTGCTTGAGCTGGGGTTTGCGCCCAGGTCTGTGCTGCATCCAAGGCCATTCTCTGCTCATCCACGTGCTGTCCTGTGATTGAGCGTCTGCATCATGCTAAACACCGTCTCCAGGGAGAGGCGTGTGTCCCGCCGAGGGTGGATGTCCTGGGCCCGTGGCCTGGCCCCTGCTCCTTGCTGTGGTTGCGGGAGGCCCTCTCCCAGGGCTCTGATAGTCTTCGCCCCCATGATGGAGGAGGACGTGATTTCACGGCTGGACACCCACTGGGTGGCTTCTGTGACTGGTGTTGGCCAGTCTAATTCTTTGGTCCATTTCCCAAGTGTTGTGACTTGAACTGGGAATGTTATCAATGTGAAAATGAAGGGAGAAATGTATTTTCTGGATTCAGAGCCCAGCAACCCAGTCACCTGATGGGAAGGAGGGAAGGGCGTCTTTCTTGCCTCCTTTGATCGTGGAGGAGAGCCCTCAAACCTCTCCCCTCCCCGCCGGGCTGCTTCTGAGCTGTGAGATGCTTGGCAGCCTGGGGTGGGGGGCAGAGCTGGTCATGGAAGGGCGAGGCCTCGTGCCAACCGGCTCCGGGCAGGCACCGGGGTCTCTGCCACATGTCCCGTGGGGGCCCACCGAGTCTGTGACAGTGAGACAGCATACCCTGTGATGTGTGGGACCCCCACGTTCCCCCCAAACTGCTTGTCCCGCTGTCCTCTCCCGAGCTAGTCTAGGGGAAGGCCCCGAGTGATCCCTGCAGGTGCGAGTTTTCCATCTTGCTTCCTCCAAAGGAGAAGGAAAAGGGCCTTATGTATTACCGCCAGGTTCCTTTAGAAACACCATGAAACCCCATGTCGACTGAGTAGGACACGGTCTTCTATTTAGAAATTTGCTGGATGTGCCCGAGACCCAGGACTCTCGGGGCGCTTGTCTGGTAGATTTCTCGTGGAAGCGGCCCCACGCCAGCTCGGGGCGAGACTCTGAGCCTTGTGTGATGTGGCAGACACGTCAGTGCCCACCCTCACCCTTTCAGCGCAAACTGGATGACATGACTGAAGTCGACTCACGCTTTCGACTTTTTCCCTGAACCGACTCAGTGGACACGGATTTGAGCAAACTCTGGGACCTCGTGAAGGACAGGGGAGCCTGGCGTCCATGGGGCTGCAAAGAGTCGGACACACCTGAGCAACGGAACAACAACAGCTTAACGAGCCTGCTTTATTGCTCCCGTGGAAGGCAGGAAGGACAGGAGAATTATAGCACCCCAAAAGCAGCCCTTGATGGTGGCTGATGGGAGATGTTAGGTAAATGCCCCAGTTCCCTCGGGCCTGGCTGGATAAGCCAGGAGGGTATTCTGCATGGGACTTCCTTGGTGCTGCAGAGGCTAAGACCCCTAACTCCCAATGCAGGGGGCCCAGGTTCGACCCCTGCTCAGGGAACTGGATCCCACGTACAGCAACTAAGGGTATGCACGCTACAGCCAGAGGTCCTGCATTCTACAGTGAAGATGGATCTTGGGTGCCATAACTGAGGCCTGGCGCAGCCGAATAAATAAGTTCTAAAAAAAAAGGAGTATATTCTGCAGTGGAAAAAATTCCACTCTTCTGTAGTGACAGCTGGCTTGATGCTGTACTTTCTGTCGGTTTTCTTGGCTGCCTTCTCATCTCTGTCTCTCTTTTCCATTTCCCAATGGTGCTTTCTTCACCTCCCAACAACCACTGTGCTCACGTCTTTTATCTTAGGATTAGCTTCTGGGGGAGCCCACATTAAGACACATGGTAGAGTTTTACCTTGCCCTTGCTTCTCTACCTGGTTCCCCAGCCAGCTGGCTTTGAGTGAGAGGGTAGGGTAAGGCCCCAAGACGCTTCTCAGGCAAGCTAATGGGTCTCTGGGGACGTCGTCTACAGCTAATCAGCAGCTTTCTCTTAGCGGCAAATCCTGGTGCTGGTGAGGGATCCAGAAAGCATGAAAAGAGAGCGAAGGCTTGATGAGCCTCATCTCAGCCTCATCAGACCGCTTTGTCTCCATCGCTCCCTTTCTCCGAAGACGGCAGAATGAAATGCAGTCGGTTCTTGTTTGCAGTACTTGTGTCCTGTACAACCTCCGCGAGCACCGAATTAGTGAATACGGAGCCACTGCTTCTAGGGGAAATCTAGGGTTAGGTTCCTGCAAGCCTCCGGTCACCACATCCCCGTCCACTGATCTGCACATAACCTTGTTTTAAGTGTGTTTCTGTTGAAAGACATCTCACTTAGTATATATCGTTGGCTCATTCACACTGAGCTCTCGCCCATGGCACTGTAGCTCACGGCTGACGCAAGCGTACCGAGTACACATATTTTCTCTGCAGGGGCAGTGCCAGCCTCGCACTTATGAACACTAGACACCACTTAGCAGTATGCTTGAGTGTGATTTTAAACAGCGGAATGACCAGCAGAAAGCACAAAAATGTGAACAACGTGGCACCAAATAGACCACAGAAAGGACGCTTGCTTGCAGAATGGGAACCGACACAGAGAAGGCAGAGCATGGCCTGCTTTGACCTGCGTGGGGAACGTGTGTGGTGCAAGACTCAGTTTTGGGTTTTTTTTCTGCTCCACACCTCGCTATGAATGACTGTGAAAGTGCCACGAGTATTGATTGGGGAGTTATAAATATGTTTCAGCAAGTAGGAGAATTTGCCTATGTGGAATCTGTGACTAATAGGGGTTGACTTTCTTTTTTTACCCCAGTGCATTAAGACTCTCCTTCTTTTCAGCATATTTGTTAGATGTGTGTCAGGCTCTGTGGTAGGTTCTGAGATGTTAAGAGATGCTTCCTGCCTTCCAGGAGTCTCCATTCTGGTGGCACAGGGGATTCAAACTATGACACCAGACAAGGTACATCCCCCAGAAGGGACAGAGACAATTTCATGGGAGTTTGAAGGGGTGGGTCTGAGAGTACAAGACAGGATGGACTTCACAGGGGAGGCCGAGCCTCCTTTGATTGGTCTAAAGAGGCGTTTCACATTTGGGGCATTTGTTACATCACTGAAAAAAAGAGAAGCAATTGGTCATCATTTCCCCACCTGCACCTGTACCTGCCCCCTTGCGTTTATCCTTCTGTGGGTGAAGCATGTCTCCTGTCTCAGGCCGACCCCTCCATTTAGGCGGGGCCCCCACCACTTACGCTCTTTTGGTTCTCCTTCCTTCTGAACCCCGTCTTTCTCCCTCTCTGCTTGAACATTCCCGCTAACACATAAACATACTTGAGTGTCCCCATCACCCCCTGGACCCCACATCCCCTCCAGCCACCACCTAATTTGCTTTACACCCTTCACTGCAAACTGCTGGAAAGAAGTGTCTGCAGTCAGGGGCTCGATTCCTCACCTCTTCTTCTTTCTAACCATCGCCACTTCACAGGTGCTGCCCTTCCCGGGGTTGCCAGTGGCTGTTGCATCCTCTTTCTGTTCTTTTATCTGAAGTGTCAGTGAGGATACTTTCAGCTACATGTGGAATGTCCCATGAAAAGAGGCTGAAACAATATGGACATTTACTGTTAAAAGAGTTCTCGTCTCAAGGGGGCCTTCCAGGAGCCTAGGTGGGCTCCTAGTTTGCTTTGTAATGCCTCTGAGAACCCAGACTTGTCCAGCTTCCTGCCCTGCCTCCCTTCATCATGTTGGCGAAAGCTGCCTAATGGTGCTAAGAGGGCTGCAGATGCTCCAGCAGACCTTACGTTGTCTAAACACTGCGTAGGAAGTGGTCTTTTTCCTTTTATCTCTTTCTCTCTCTCTCTCTCTCTTTTTTTTTATCATGGAGGATTTTTTCCCTTTAGGGACCCCACAACCTATTTCTCCTTACATCAATCCCTAAACCTGCCAAAGGGAAATGATATTATTACTATTGGCTTGAAGCAATTAAGAGTTATCCCCTGCGTCGGGGGCCCACCTTTTTTGGATGTGTGGCCACCGAACCAACGTTTAAGTGAAACGGTCTGTTAGCGTGGAACGGGGAGGAGCCGCCCCCCTCTTCCTTGACACCTCCGGGCCGATCTGACCATCGGCCACTCCCTCCTTCTCAGCACGTCACTCCCAGCGCTTCCTGTGGGGGCATCGTTTCCTCTGGGTTTGCTCTCACCCCTGCGGGCACTCCTCAGCGTCTCTGATGCGCTCCCTGTAAACGACCAGCTGCCCAGGCGCTTGGACTGGAGGCCCCTGGTCCCTGTCTGGTTCTCCCCGGGTAGTATCAGTCGCCCTTCGTACATTCTAGCGGGGGGCCTCTCCAGATTCCACATCCACCTGCCTCCTCCACGTTTCCACTCACGCGCCTGTCTTCACCTCCGAAGATGGAAGGAGGACCGTGGACTTCCCACCCCAAACCTCGGTGCCTCCGTGCTGCGTCCTCCGCTCCACGCGTGGCTCCGCCGTGTATACAGTTGCCGAACGAAACATCTAGGTCCGTCCTTTCTACCTCTAGCCTTTCCCACTCTGTCTATCAGCAAGTCCAGTCCATGATGACCTCTGAAATCCATCCAGAATCTGTTTCTGCTTCTGCCCCCATCTCTCTGGTTCTGGCAGCCTCCGCTGGAAGGCTGACATGGTCTTCCCATTGGTTTCCCTATCTACTCCTGCTGCCTATAATCCATTTCAGATTTCTTTGCAGAGTCCAGAGTGCTCACCATTACACAATGGATCAGATTTCTTTGCAAAGTGGTGCCAGTTTCCACTGCAGGACACAGGGAACCGGCTGCACGGATGCATACGTCCCCTCCCACCTGGGCCTCCCCCTGTCCCCGCCCACCGGCGCCGCGCCCCGCCCCTGTGGTCATAGAGCACCGGCCGAGCCCCCTGTTACGCGGCAGCGCCCCAGCTCTCTGATTTACACGGCGGACCGCCCCCCGGTGTGGCTCTCCCAGCTCGCCCCGCCCTCCCCATCCGCCTGTGTCCACAAGTCGGTTCTCTATGGCCTGTCTCTGTTCCTGCCCTGCGGGTGGGTCCTCTGTAGCCTTATCTTCGTTCCTGAATAAACCAGCTGCTTTCTCACCCGAGGGTTACCGTCGGGCCCGCCTCCTCCTCCTGACGTCCGCTTCGCGTGGATTTCACGTGGCGGGCTCCTCCTCCTCCTGCAGTCTCAGCCCACGTGCCCCCTTCCCGTAGGCGCTTTTCCAGCACGCGCTGGTGCATGTCGCCCTCCGTCTCTCTTATGATTCTGCGCATCCTGCCTATCAGGCACTGACAGTTTTTCTCTCTGTTTATGAATTTAATAAGTAAAAATGAAAAAAAATGCCTAAACGAAGACCACTCAGATGGTATCTCCATGAAGTCAAGGGGAGAGAGTTTTAAGAAGGAGAGCATACTGAGGCACATTAGATGTTTTCCAAAGACTGAAGATAATGGTCATGACCGTGATGGTAGCAACGATCTTGTGTTTTTACTGTGAGCCTGGCAGAGGGCAGGGCATTTTGCATACATTGTCCTGACAATGTTTCTACTTCAAGGAATGTTATCTTCCTGTCTTAAAGAGGAGAATGTCCACTGATGAGGCCCGATGCTGTGCCTGAGGCGTGGTAGCTTTCAGTGAACATTTGCTATGTGAGTGAGTGAATTTCCCTGAGGTTTGGGGCTCCACGTGGTAAGGCTGAGAGTCTAACCCAGGTCTGGCTGAAACCAGAGGCCATTCATGATAGTTGGTACCTCTTAATCCCCTGCCCCTCTGTGGGCCCTCCCCACGTCCCGTCCCCGCTGGTAACGACTCGTTGGTATCTGCGAGTCTGCTGCTTTTTTGTTATATTGCAAGTTACTTTTATTTTAGATTCCACAGGTAAGTGATATCATACAGTATTTGTCTTTCGTTGTCTGAGTTATTTAAAAGTGAAAGTGAAGTCGCTCAGTCGTGCCGGCTTTTTGTGACCCCGTGGACTGTAGGCCACCAGGCTCCTCCGTCCATGGGACTTTCAGGCAAGACTGCTGGAGTGGCTTCCATTTCCTTCTCCAGGGGATCCTCCTGACCCAGGAATCGGACCCAGGTCTCCCGCTTTGCGGGCGGACACTTGACCACCTGAGCCACCAGGGAAGCCCCTGCTATTTAACTTCAGCATCACACCCTCCAAGCCCATCCATGTTGTTGCAAATGCAAACTTTCATTCTTTTTTAGTGGCTGAGTAGTATTCCATTGTATGTGTATGCCACTTCTTTATTTATTCATCTGTTAATCGACACTTTGTTGTCGTTCAGTCACTAAGTCATGCCCGACTCTTTGCAGTGCCATGGACTGCAGCACACCAGGCTTCCTTGTCCTTCACCATCTCCTGGAGCTTGCTCAAACTCATGTCCATTGAGTCGGTAATGCCATCCAACCATCTCATCCTCTGTCGTCCCCTTTTTCTCCTGTCCTCAATCTTTCCCAGCATCAGGGTCTTTTCTATGAGTCCGTTCTTCACATCAGGAGGCCAAAGTATTGGAGCTTCAGCATCAGTCCTTCCAGTGAATATTCTGGGTTGGTCTTCTTGCTGTCCAAGGGACTTTCAAGAGTCTTCTCCAGCACCACAGTTTGAAAGCATCAATTCTTCAGTGCTTGAACTTCTTTATGGTCTAACTCTCACATCCATACCTGACTACTAGAGAAACCATAGCTTTGACTATACAGACCTTTTGCCAGCAAAGTGATGTTTCTGCTTTTTAATACACTGTCTAGGTTTGTCATAGCTTTTCTCCAAGGAGCAAGCATCTTTTAATTTCATGGTTTCAGTTACCATCCACAGTTACCATCCACAGTGATTTTGGAGTCCAAGAAAAGAAACCCTGACTCTGCTTCCACTTTTTCCTCCATCTCTTTGCCATGAAGTGATGGGACTGGATGTCATGATCTTAGTTTTTTGAATGTTGAGTTTCAAGCCAGCTTTTGGTTGTTTCCATATCTGGTGGTTGTAAATATGCTGCTATAAACATTGGGAGTATATATATTTTTGAATTTGTATTTTGGGTTTTAAAAAAATATATAGCCAGGAGTGGAATTCGCTGGATTTGTTCTATTTTTTGTTTTTTGAAAGATCTCTATACTGTTACAGGGTGGCTACAATTTACATGGCCACCAACAGTGTACACAGCTCCCCTTTCCCCCACAGAGTGACTTTTCTATTAAAACATCCCAGGGATGCGTTCTAATGTTAAGCCAGGTTCTTTGTGCAGGGAATTTTTAATACTCAGTCTTTGGGATGAGTGCAGTGAGAATCCCAGTTGGATGATGCTGTGGGTGAGCACATTCTAAACCAAGTCCATGTTTGACATGAACTTGCTTTCTGGATGTGTCAGTTTTTGGTTTATTTTATTACGGGACGTATGCTTAGTGTTTGTGGTTTGCTCAGCGCTCTTGTAGGTTGACTGAGACTTTACACAACATTAAGGACACACTGTTGGCCTTGGCTGACTTCACAGTTTCATCGGGGTGATGAAACGTACGTGTGGATGAAGGCAAAGTCACGAGCGAACACCTTACTGGAATGGATGAAGGGTGTGCGGTAAAGGTGAATTGTGATAAGAGATGGAGAAAGGCAAATGGTTTGGATGCTTCCTTTTGGGGGAAGGGATGCATGTGGCTCGTGGGGAGGAAAAGGTGGGGGAGAGAATGCACTAATCTCAGCAAGACAGTGCACATTTGCAGGATTTGCCTAAGGGGCAGGACGCGTGCATCTCCACCTGGAAGGATCAGAGTGGGTTGGGAAGAGAGGATTAGAGAGCTGAGAACTGTCAGTAGGAGACAGGATGTGGCTGTTTGTCGGGAGCTACTGGGGGTTTCTGAGACCTTATGTGACATGAAGGAATGTTTGTCAGGGATCAATCTTGCAGTGGGTGTGGGACATTTGGGAGCAAACCAGATTCAAACTGGAAATGCTAGTGAGGGCAAGGTTTCTTAATTTCAGTCTTTCCTAGTCCACCTTTGCTTTTTAATTTTTTTGCTTCATTTAGATATCATCTGTACCACTGTTTATTTTTCTGTAAGTAGATTTCACTTTTAAAAACCTAAATTTAACTGCCTTAGGTAGTAGTATCTACCACTGTTAATATTTTTCTTTGAGAGCTTCATTTAAAAATTAAATAAATTTAGCCCTTCCCCCAGCAATAGTATTTATAACATCATAGATATTTTGATTAGTTACATTTTTCCTAGTGCAACCTATGGCCATTAAGAAGGTTTCCTCTTAAGGTCAGAAGAAAGGTCACTTAAAGTGACACTAAAGTGTCATGGTCATCTGGTTTACCACCAGTGGTTCATGTGCTGTGCTTTTGGGAACATTTGGGTCCTCACCACTTTCTAGTTGTGGCATGATGGAGTTGAATAAATGGAAATTAGCCTACACTTATTCAATCCTTACCTTGTACAAACTACTGGCTGAAGGAGATGAAAATATGAATTACATACAGTTTTTCCTCTTCATGGATTTGGAGGAAGCAGAGTGTGAATGGCATTTCACAAAGAAGGGGAGATATACAGGCTTGATGAATCCAATCCCAGCCACGTGGGATGGATGGAGGTCAGGGCTAGAGGACCCAGCGGGGAAGTGCGGAAGAAAGGTCTAAGCCGAGGGTCCGTGCAGAGGTCTAGGGATCTGCTGGCCATTGGCATACTGGAGTCAGTCATTTCTCTTAAATTACAAGGAGAGCAGTGTCCCCCACGAGGTATGGGATATTTGGGAATATTGATTGAATATAGGAGAAAGAAGACAATGATTGCATTTCTGGTACCTATGGGGGAGGGAAAGGACGTGTCCTGCAGAAAATACTTTGCTGTGAAACAGCAGAAGCAGTGTAGGCTCTGTCCTTTTATTTTGTCTTTAATTAGACACAAAGGAAATAGCTGTATAATACAGGTGTGGATTTTGGAAGCATTTAGGTCAATCCTGGAAAAGGACGTTGCTGCTCTTGGCTTGGACATGGGTGGAATGTCCTTGGAAACTCGGATAAGCATTTGAGTGGCTTGTTTTTATCCGTATGGTAGTCATTTCCCTTGCAATCTACCTATATGTAGGGAAACTTACATGACAGGATTTTTCTCTTCCAACTCCTTATTTTCCACCTGAAAAGGATCTGATATCCAGGAATCGTGGGTGCAGTTCTGCGTCAGCTTGGAGAGAAGACTAATATGAATACGGTGAGGCAAACCGCAGATGGAGGGTTAACAAGAGCAGAGTCTGGAATTGGTCATCCTCTGCAGAGCAGGAGAAGGGTGACCGGCTGACTGTCACCGGAAAATTTCCCCAGAGAACCTTTAAAATGTATGAATCTCCAAAGTCCATCCATTTTCATTCAACCTTCGTCCCTATGGTTCCTGTTCATCTATTTTGTATAATACCCGTCCCTGTAATGCCCAGAATGAAATGCACCAATTTTAATTGCAACAGATAGGACAGAGCAACTCTTGGGAGCTGCTTTGGACAGGACGTGGAGGCTGACTTCTCCTAATGGGAACTGTGTAGGGAACCTGACTCACTTGCCCTTATCCCCATCACTCTGCAGGGATTGGTTGAGTTCCAAGGAGTCTAGAGCCAATTTAGTGATACAGAGGAAAGGAAAAGGCACTCTTAAGTGGATCTGTATTCCCAGTTATCAAAGACGCCAGTGCCTTCTCCGGGCTAACAGAAACCCAGAGTGTGCCC